TCAATTCAACATTGTAAGAAACAAAGGAGAGTATAAGACCCACAAAAAATAAGATGACAAATGCTATGAATGCGGCTAACTTGGATACTATATGAGTGAGTGTCCAATAAAGAAGAAGAAAGAAGGAAGAAAATCGAGATTCAACAACTTCTAATTCACATGGAATGAGTGTAACTCCGATAGTAAAATTGAAGAGGAAAAAGAATCTGCTCAATTGGTTTTTATGACCATTGAAGATAATGAGATAACAACTTCTAACCCTCAATTTGAAAGTGATGATGAAACTGATGATGATCTTGAATCTTTCATTAAAAAGTTGCATCATAGTTTGAAAGAATCTTATGCTAAAAACAAGAAATTAAAACATAAAATCAGTTTTTTTCTACAGGATAATACACGTCTTTTTCAAGAAAATAAAAATCTGAAAACTGAAAATGATTTCTTGAAAAAGAATGAGATTGATTTATAAAATAAGGTTGATAGAAAAACAAGATTTTGTGAAACGTTAAGAAAGGAACAAAGTGATTTAAAAAGAAGAATGGATAATTTAAATGAATTGATCCAACATAAAAAATAAGACTGTTTTCAAAGGAATGAATCAAAAACTCATTTTGACACTTATGAGAAGAAGATATTTATTTGTTATTATTATTTTTTAGCTAACCCCGATCGCAGGGAGGGACGCCACCCCCTATTAATTTATTAATAATCTGAAAGAAACATCAAACAAACCGATCCCTATACACCTACGTGATCCTGAACAAACGATCTAACAGAAGGGAACCCAAAACTATCTAGGCGCAAGGCACCTCTAGCCCCCGGTGGTAACTCTGACGCAGACGTGTAAATGACCTCTCCCCCCAGAGCACACCCAACCTTTGATAAAACATCAGCAACTTGATTTGCCTGCCGAAAACAGTGGCCCACTCTAGGAATATGCTCCATAAACCCCAACAACTGCTGTACCTCCAGGAAAACACTCCAAGGACACCTAGCCTTACCAAGCAAAATGTGGACCAACACAAGAGAATCTGATTCGACCTCCAACTTTCGGAACCCCCGTTGAATGCACACCTTCACCCCAAAAAGCAGAGCACGAACCTCAGCCTGAACACTCATAGCTAGACCCAGATTGCAGGCAAACGCTAAGAGTAAATTACCCCCACTATCACGAAGGACCCCTCCTCCCCCACTAACTCCTGGAATCCCCTTGGAACATCCATCGGTATTGAGCTTGAGAACCCCACTTGGCAGCCGCAACCACCGTACTATGGAATATGACATCCGAGGAACCCACTCGGAAATAGCCGCATAGAAGTGCTGTGAGAACCCTGAAAAATGGATATATAAATTAGTGCATATTTCATTTGCATTTCTTTTATTGTTCAATAACTTCTAGCATTACTTTTAATTGTTCACAATTAAGTGTGTAAAAATAGGTTTATGTAAAAAAAAAAATAAATAAAATAATATACTTTTCCAAAGTTATGAAATTTCTTGGTTTTATTTGACTAAATAAATATCTTTAGGGTTGGATTAAATTTTCGCCTTAAAATAAAATGTTAGAATACTTAATTCCTTTATACTAAATTAATGATAATTGAATCGTTAGATTTACTACCTTAAAATAAATTATTTAAATTCCAATGATAAATTCTGTTTAGTGCCAACGATATAGGTATCTTAAGTATACTTAGTATATAAGAATTTCGATAAATAACGCCTTGCAAGATTAACATGTCATTAGGTGATCGAATTATATTTGGGATAAATTTTTGGAGATAAGTTAGAACTAAGGGTTTTGAGTGGAGATGTGAAAGAAACGTGAAAGGACTAAAATGCCTCCATATAATCTCAAATCGACCATGAAATTTCAAAACCAAATTATCGGACACAATGATCATGCACCTCTCCATTCGGCCAATGAGAAAACTTCTCCACTTGCACACTCAACTCTCATCCGTAGCTCATTTCCATTTTCCTTCCACACCACCATAACATCACCACAGAAATTCCATGCACAGCCAAACAAGACCTCGGACAGCAGCCTAGCACCGCATCAACTGACCAATAGAAACTTCATCCAATTCTACACTCAACCACCTCCAAAACCACGGCACCTCTTCTGTCCTCTCCACTTCACATATCAGACCACAACATTTCATTTCCACAAACACATTTCTTCCCTACCTTGATACCATCGACAAGAAGAGCCGAGGGAAGAAGCCGAGAGCTGGAGTGAAACCAGGGAGAAAATTTCCGAGAGAGCTGCACCGTCTGCACCTCCATTTGTACCCAACTTCACGGCTGCAACATCACCAGCTTCAACCTCCATCAGCTGAAGCCACTACACCAAACCAGAACCAGCAAAGTTGTCGCGTGCGTAGGAACCGAGAGGGAGCAGAAAATTTTCAGATTCTTGTGTGTGAGCTTGACGTGAGTGAGGTAAATTTTTCTGGGTTAAAAATGGATAATCAGAGGTAGTTTAAGCTAACCGTGGCCTTGCATGTGTTAATGGTGTAATTAAATGACGAAACCAAAGCTGTGGAAAATTCTGTTTCGGCTAAAGAAATTTCTGCCGAGGAGCTTGCTTGGATTTGTGGTTCTATTTCTGACTTTATGTGACAATCTGAGTTGGATTAAATGTTTAATTAATTAAAAACAAGAAGTCCAAGTCATCTAGTAACAGGTATGAGTGGTTAGGCAGTCGGATGATGATATTAAGACAATAGAAAATTTCTGTTTGGATGTTGATGTTTCTGCCAAGAAGCCGAGCTGATAGTGCAGCTTTAATGTTGTTTTCCTTGAGTAATCTGAGCATACCATGGTATATATCTAACTGGAAACTTGGATGATTATTATGATTAGGGCCTTGCATGATCATTTTAAGTAGTCGGATGAAGAATTAAAAAAAAAGCTTAGAAAATTCTGTTTTGTTGAGAATGATTCTGCCGAAAGAATGGTTTGGAAATGCAACTGAAATTCTGTTTTTCCTGTGATAACCTGAGCACTCAAGTGTAATTAGCCGAGTAGAACTTAATGTTTAAGATGTCTAGGACCCTGCATGTTGAGTTACTTGATTGGACAATGAAACTAGGAACTTGGAAAATAAAATGAAAGCCGAAAAATTGGTTCATGAATGATCATTCGAGAATAGTTGGTAAAATTTCTGGATTTGTGTTAGATGAGTATAATCGTAGCTTGAACCTGGATTTGATTTGAAAACCTCTACTAGCTAGCTACGTGTTTACATGTCCTAATAGAGTACAAAAAATTCTGTTTTAACCAAAGAAAATCCTGTTTTAGAACCATTGTTATTTCTGGAAATTTCTTTGTAAACTGCCGTGAATTTGAACCTGGAAATTTTGAAGATTATAACAGTTGTTTAAATTCAACTCTTGAACTGGAAATGTTCATTGTTTAGCTAAGAAAGTGTATGATGAAGCTGAGAGCTTAATAGCATGTCTTAGCCACGAAAATTGTGAATTTATAAACAACGAAGTGCTGGAAATTTTAATGACCGAAAGGTTGAACTGAAATTTTTTTAAGTGGTTCCTGGAATTTTTTTCCTTGGGGTATTATGAACTCGAGACGCATGACAAAATGTACACGTTAATCTGTGAAAGCTGTTTAGCAATGAAACGTTTTGATATCTAGAAAGATTCAACCAAAAATGTGGGTGTACCAATGCTGGAAATTTTCCTTGTGGTTGCCAAAGTTTGAGTAAGAATTTCCAGCTCGATTGTGAAGTTATTCCTTGAACCTTAATGATTGGAAACACATGGAAAATGTTGATGTTAATGATTGTGGTTTGACCCTAGGGTGTTCCTGAAATTTTCAAAGAATTAGAGGGTAAGAAGGTACTTGCTAAACGTATGCTTAAGCCTGGCTAGTGAAACAATTTCTACTCGTATTCCAATGTCCGCAAAGCTAATGGTCGACATTATTTTTCATTGGAGCATAATGTGTCGAAATTGTTGACGGTGGGCTCTACGAATTCCCACTTTTGAATTGATGGTTGATTTATTGGGAATTGGTTGGTGGTGGGCTCTATGAATTCCCACCCTGCATGGATAACTGAATTGCTGAAATTGTTTAGAAATCTGTGCTACTATTTTGTGAAACTGTGAGTTGATACAAGTACTGATTACCAAGTGCTAAGTATTGACGAAGCCTTGGTAAATTTTCCTGCTTATGCTTAGATATAAATTTGTTGGAACACAGGGCCAAGAATTGACGAGCCCTAGTGTTATTACTGTTTAAATTCTAATTGTGCAATATTGAGGAAATGTGATTTTGGATTGGAATCGAAAATGTGAGAAGTTGTACCGACCTTGTGACTCCAAGTAAACGCTTGACTAAGTAAATGAAAAATATTGTACTTTAAGTCTCGAACGGTACAGATTTAGCATCGTATTGCTAAACATAGTGTCTACTATTTTTGCCTTAGAAACTTGGGCAACATGACTTTTATCCCTTAAGTTAGACTAGCCTTATCAATTTGGGAAAATGATTCTCCCAGACTCAAAACCATAGTTTTGTTCCAAATTCCTTCCTTCTTTATAAATCGTTTAAGGCTAGTCGGAACTAAGGAAAATTTAAAAGGTGAAACTCGATCACTTTAGTTTTAAACGTAGAAACCTGCTTGGCAAGAAGAAAAAAAAACCTTATTTTAGCAACATTTTTCAATAGACCTTACCCTAAAGCCTTAGCAAAGATTTTTGTAGGCACAACCACTCCAATGAACTTTTTTTCCAAGGTATACTTTTAGCCTTGATATTAATTATCTTGCCGACTTATTTTAAGAAAATAATAATAGTATTTTCTTCGAGGAAAAGTATTCCAGGAATATTATAAGAAATATTGTACGGTTCTCACAAGCTCGATTCCAAGTAAAATATTTTGAGAAAAAAAGTAAACTAGCAACATGCTAGAAAACTCTACATGTGCAAGCCAACAGTTCCAATAGAAAACTTATGGCTTAAATTCTGATATTCTAGGATTTTACGAGGACGCGGAACTCGATCCTCAATCCAATATCTGAACTTCACTCTTGGTGAGTGTCCCTGCTTGTTCTATGTTATGTGGTTAAGCGCTTTATCAATTCGCTATGTGATAATTGTCAAAATGCAATAAATGATTTTGATCCATCGAAGTGAGCAGTGTGTACTTTATCGCACTAGCCGTTCGAGTGGTGACATGTGTGAAACATTTTCTAATGAATCTGTGAATCTAAATGTAGTTGCGTCGTTGGGTGAATCCCTCGACATCTGAATCCAACTACCATAACATCTGAATCTGTAGTTGCGTCGTTGGGTGAATCCCTCGACATCTGAATCCAACTACCAAAACGTTGTTGGGTGAATCCCTCGACAAATTTATTACGGGTATATCTCGAGTATACTGCGTCGGTAGAGGAAGTTTGGGCCCAAAGCAGAGGTATGAATGGTGACGGGTTAGGATTAAAATAAGTGTATCTACATGGAAATTAAGTAGGGAAAGTTGACGGAGGGTCAACTACGATGGTATCTGATCAAGCGTGGAAAATGGCTCCTGAGAGCCCTTGTATCCTACCTTGTGCTGTTACACGCTTTCCTAACTGTTTCAATTTGATTTAAATTATTAACCGCTGTTTGATTTATGTGATTGCATGTTTTGGGGCACCACTGAGTTTTAGCTCACCCCACGTTTATTGTTTTCCTTAACAGGTTCTGGAAACTGAAAGCTGGATGCTTAGTCATGTTTTCCTTTTGGATTGTATTTGAATATTATAACTTATTATGTGGATTGTAATGTGTTATTTGAGATAATGCACTTTTCCTTTGGATTGCCACTTGAAGTTGGAAAATGTGTAACCTTAATTCGATTACTTAGCTTGTAAGCTGTATTATGGATTTATGCATTTTATCTATACGGTTTGCGATGACTTTGTACTTTGGTAAGTAGCACGTGGGACGTTTAAGGGCCTCGACTGGCGATTTTATCATCGCTATCTTTGAAGATAATGTGGCTTTAAGGATGATTCCATTCGAGAAAACTTGTTTTTGTAATAAATTAAGTTATCCTTTGAAAGGATTTGGGCTAGAATGCTTGCGTGAGTCCTGGCGAGAGTTGGGCAGACGGCCCGCCAACCCTTTGGTTCGCCTCAGGGGGAAGTGGGGTCGCCACAAGTGCACCCAAGCCGCTGGGAATGACCTTTGCTGATTGAAGTATAGAACAAATAGTTCCACAAGGTCAGCCATGACCGCCGTGCACAACCTGTCGAACCCAACCTGAATCCCCTCATACCTCATGGAGTTCCTATACTTCCAAAAGTGCCAGCAAATCAGAAGTGGCAGAATATGGTGGACAAAGGCCAGGTGCCGATTATCCCTCTTCCCATACCACCAGGCTGCCAGACGGACATGAAACGATGAATCGGACCAAGATATGCCCACTGGATCCCCGAAGTAACGCTAGACACGCGACGCCATATCGCCCTTAGCGAACACATGCTCGACATTCTCTATATCGGGCAAAGGGCAGCACCCACACCTAGACGGCCCATGAACCCCGAACTTCCACAGGCAGCAATCCACAGGTAACCGGCCACGCAAAAGTCGTAATAAGAAGAAGGAAATTTTCAACGGCAACACCGGATGCCACAATCTGCGATACATGAAGGAGCTGTTGGCCTGCTAACGTACTAACTAAAACGCAGAACGGAGTGTAAACCGCCCCGATTGAGTCGGTCTCCATACCATCAAGTCAGGCAGATGCCCAACCGGGGGAGCAACCCTCACAACCTCCTTGACCACACCATGCGGCACCCACTGTTGAAAGAGCTGAATGTTCCAATCACCATGCGTTACAAAATCAGCTACCCTGTGATCCGACACACTATCTAGCCGCGAAGACAATGAACCTGTTCCAAGCCAATTGTCAAACCAGAAGTTTGAGCTTCCAGAACGGCCAATCCACCCGATGTGGCTCTCTGCCAGTTGACGGACCTCCATCATCCTTCTCCATACCTGTGACCCCCCACCACGGTGTACCAGATTAGGATGCACCTGCGCACAATACTTAGCCTCCATGAAGGTCGCCCATAGAGATGACAGGGACCAGAAGTTCCACCATAGCTTGATGAAAAAAGCATCATGAATATCCTCTAGACGGCGGAAACCCATACCCCCTTCGTCACCTGGCACACAGAGGTCCTTCCACCCAATCCAATGCAACTTTTGCCCCCACACGGATTCACCCCATAAGAAGTTAGAGAACCTCCCTTCGATCTCTTTAAAAATCGATTTCGGAGGCGAAACAGCCATCAAAAGATGGACCGGAAGCGCGAAGAGGACATGTTTCAATAGCACGATCCTACCCCCAACAGAGAGTAACCGGTTCTTCCAGGAGTCAACCTTACTTACCACAGCGAGGCATAGCCCAGCAAAATACTCCTTCTTCTTCCGCCCATAATAGAGAGGATACCCTAAATATCTGATGGGAAAAGACATAAGCTTGAAGTCCGTGACCTGCTGGATCAACTTCCTCCACGGCCTTCCTACCGTGGCATGAACCAAAAAACAATTCTTTGCTTTATTGATCAGCTGTTCGGATGATGCCTCATACTACTCCAATACCCTCATTACTAGCCGGAGGGTGGAGGCAGTTGCACTGGAAAATATTAGAACATCATTAGCATACCCCCAAATGCGTAATAAACGGGCACCCTCGAAGGATCGAGAAACCTTGAAACCCCCGACAAGTCACAAGTTGGTTTAGGGACCGAGATAGCACCTCCGCCCCTATAATAAACAAAGTAGGCGACAATGGGTCACCCTGGCGAAGCCCTCGAGCCGACTTAAAGAACCCACGGAACGATCCGTTTATAACAATGGAGAACCAGACATTGGAAATAAGCGCTAGATCATATCGATCCAGCGCTCCCCAAAGCCAAACGCCCGCAGAACCTGTATCAAGAATGGCCACTTCATCCTATCATAAGCTTTTGTCATATCCAATTTGAACACGACATTACCCCCACGCACTTTCCTCTTGATGCCCGCAATGACCTCCTAAGCAAGTAAGTAATTGTCCGAAATAGACCTTCCCTGAACAAACCACTTTGATTCGGCGAGATAATCTTAGGCAAGAGAGGTGCAAGCCGGCGGGCCAAAATCTTAGAGAAAATCTTGTTCACAAAATTACATAGACTAATGGGCCGAAACTGAGAGAACTCCTGTGGCTTCTGTACTTTGGGCAATAATACAATAGAGGTAGCAGTTACCCGCCTTGGGAGCTCAGCATCGCAAAAGAAACTTTGGACCGCGGCATACACATCGCCTCCCACTATCTCCCAGGCTGCGGAGAAGAACCTCCCAGTGAAACCGTCAGGGCCAGCAACACTACTCCCATCCATTCCGCATACCGTCTGTCGCACTTCCTCCAGGGACGGGACCTCCTCCAAATGCTCAATGTCCTCCGGCGATATTAGCCTAGGGATGACCTCAGGCATATCCCTCATGCCAGGGGCATCCTCCAAAGAGAATAAGGAAGATAAATATCGCACCGCCTCCTCTCCAATAAGCGCGTCCTCCGTGACCCAGTCCCCACTCGGCTTCCGCACTAGATGGATCATGGATTGCATGCGACGTTGCTTGACCACTGAGTGGAAAAACTTAGTATTCCGATCCCCTAAGGCCAACCATTTGACTTGTGCCCTTTGCTTCCACAATGACTCCTCCAGGGCAAGTGCTCGGTTCAACGAAGCCCGGGCCACCTGCAGCTCCTCATGTCCCTCTTCGGACCCCCTATCTCTAACCCTCTCTCCAACCTTCCAACCACCTCCTCAGCCTTAGCTACATTGTCGGAGAAATTTTCCACGCAGTTCTTGTTCCAACATTGAAGGTGGCGCTTCAGCCGCTGTAACTTTGAGCAGAGCACATGCATCAGGGGCCTACTGCACTCTTGCTCCCATGAATGTCTTACCACCCCTAGGAAGTCCTCCCGGGCCGCCCAAGCATTTATGAATCAAAAAAGACGGGGTTTACCATCCAACCTAGTGGCAGTAGATATCAACAGAGGCGCATGATCGGAGGGATGGCGCTCCAAATGAGTAACCCCAATTGACAAACCCGCATCAAAACATCCACATTCAGCAGAAGCCGGTCCAACCGTTTCCAAATCCTAGTGCGACCCCGGCGATTATTGCACCAGGTAAATTGAGAACTTGAGAAACCGGCATTCACCAAGCCCGCAGAACTCATGAAGGCCACCAAGTCTGCCGCCTCTGCCACTGTGAAAGGCCGCCTTCTCTTCTTTTCCTCATCACCAATAATGGCATTAAAATCGCCACACACCAGCCAGGGACCCAACAATGGTTTGGATTGGAGCAATCCTGCCCAAAGTGCTCTCCGTTCCTCCCTAGTAGAAGTAGCATGAACCACCTAGAAGGAGATCGAGCTCACCAAACCAGGATGTTGTACAGACAAGGATAAAAATTGATTACCCTCACCCAAAATGGAGCAACAAAAAGGAGAGTTATAGAAAACCCACAACAACCCCTCTGACTGAGAAAGAACATGGTCAAACTTCAACTTAGCCCTAAACTCTTCGGTTAACGCCAATTGAACATGCATTTCGCACAACACAAGCAATTGGACATGATGAGACACAACTAATTTCCTCAACCTGCGAAAATGGGATGCCTTAACGACACCCCTGATGTTCCAAAAAAGTGCATTAATCATGAGGTAAAGGATGGAAGGAATTTTGTGAAGCTTGTACCGTAGATCGCAGCTCCCTATCAGATGGGAATCTCACACGCACGCCCTTGGACTTACCCGTGACCATTCTAAAGGCGTCATCGAGACCCTGATGGTCCTTTTCAAACAATAGACCGGCCTCCCCCTCACTTAGACCCTCCTTCAGCACCGTACCCTGTGGAGAAAGATTATCCACTGCTGCTATGTATGACAACTGCCGCGTGGTTCCCCCGTAACTATCTTTCCCCAAACATTCCCCCGTCACTATCTGCAATCCGTTCGATCTCCTGCTCTGCAGCGTGGTGGATAGCCTCC